CAACCTGGTGTTGAACTCACTTATGTGGCCCAGGCTGGACTCAAACTCATGGCAATCTTCCTGCCTCAGCTTCCTGAGTGCTGGGATAACAGACATGTGCCACCATGCCTGGCTGTATATCTTGGTTTTTTTTTTTAGAACCGGGAATTGAACTCAGGCCCTTGCGCTTGCCAGGGAAGCACTTATTCCACTGAGCCATCTCCCTGGCTCCTGTATATCTTGTTTATAGAGCCTCAATGTCTTTCATCGTCCAGTACATGTGTTACATACAGTACTGTAACTCTTGCTAATTGCACTGTTCAGTAAAGAACTGTAGTTTAATGTTCTATATTACAGTACTGCATATAAGACTTATATGGGGCCGGGGAGATGGCTCAGTGGATTAAGCACTTCCCTGGCAAGCACAAGGGCCTGAGTTCAATCCCCAGTTCCGCCAAAAAAAAAAAGAGTTATGCAAAGTCATCAAGTTGGAGTTTCTTTTGGCCATTTCTTTGTTCTGAATATTATAATACACATACTGTATATATTTTCTCATTTAGTGACCAATTCATTGAGTGACTTAGTTGCAAGCTGTTAAGTCAGGAATGTCTATGCATAGTTCAGGCTGACCTGAACAGTGGTCAGGTCACAGTGTTAGGAGTGTTAGGATTACAAGTATGTCCTACCACATCTGTTTGTGTGTGTGTGTGTGTGTGTGTGTGTGTGTGTGTGTGTTGTTTGTTTCGATTTTGGTGACAAGGTCTCTCTAGCTCAGGCTGGCCTTAAATTCAGTATATGGTTGTTATGGTTTTGTCTAGGTGTCCCCCCAAAGCCTCATGCAGTCATGGGGTAGCTTCTGGAGTTTGTGATTGATTGTTGTGGGTGTGGATGCTGCACCTGAGCTGGGGCAGGTAATCTGCATTACAATGCAAGGAGGGGAGAGAGGCTGACTAGCTGCCTGAGCTGCTGCCGCTCCACTTGCTCTCTGCTCTTTGTCTCCTCCATGAAGGGTTGCTCTCTGCCAGTGCTGCTCTGCCTTGGAGCCAGCGGAGTATGGACTGAAACTCCTTGTAACTGTGAGCTGAATAAACCTTTCCTTCCTTCATTTTGAGTGTTGGGTATTTATCCCAGCAATGGGAGAAGAACAATGAGACCAAGTAGCTAATGGCCTACTTTGGCCTTGAACTTGAAGTGATCCTCCTGCCTCAGCCTCCCAAAGGCTTTGATTACAGGTGTGTGTCACCACAGCAGGCATCTCCAGGTTCTTGATGTCCTAAGCAAAGAACTGAGCAAGACATCTAAGAGTACCAGTAAGATCAAAGATTTATAGGAAAGCTCATGTCTGTGGAGCTGTTGGCAGGAAACCCATACCAGCAGGGTCGTAGCCTCCAACCCCGCAATGGCTGGGAGGTCTGGGTGGGCTTAGATCTGGACTGAACACCCTAAACCACCCAGACCCTAAGCAGGTGCTATCCATCCTGATGTGAAGTGGGCACTACATAGCAGATGCTGGGGTCACTGTGGCTGCTTCAGGTAGACTTGGCTCATGTGGCCAGAAGCCCAAGGTGACGTTTGGAAACAAGGCACTGAGATGGTCCCAAGGAATGCGAGTGTGGCTGCAGAAGTTGTGGCTGGAGGACTGTTTCCCTGTCCCCCTCTCCAGCCCTAATATATTCCTGTCTGGGTCACCTCTTACCTGGGGGGTTCAGAAAGGGTGCTGGGAACACAGACCTGTACCCTCTGCGGGGCGCACTTCCCTGCAAGTCCTATGTGGTGAGTATGCAAATGCCCATGTATGAGAGAGCGTGGAAATAGCTTGGCCCAGGGCAGAGAGGTGAAAGAATGCCACAGAAGGCCCAAGGTCACTGTTCTTTGCATAGATCAGAAGTGGCCCTTTGCTGAGGGTGTAGGTGAGTGGCAGAGCACTTGTGTAGTCTGTGTAAGGTGCTGGGTTGAATTTCAGAGAGAGAGAGAGAGAGAGAGAGAGAGAGAGAGAGAGAG